ATCCACTTACGCAGGGTTTTTATTTAAAAAGCAAACAGACACACACACACACACACACACACACACACACTGTGTACAGCCAAAGGTCAGTGTGACAAGGAGCAGGGTCTGCGTGAGTGATTTGTGTCCTTGTAGGTGAAAGGTCTTTGGCCTAACACACCTCTACCTTGCACTATCTAGGTAGGATGTACAGTGTGTGTGTGTGTGTACTGTCTGACTTGAATTACAAAGTCTCGAGGGCCTCATAAATATTTTTTTTTCCACCATGCTCACTGTTCAGATTTCTACATGACCTCAGGGATTATCGGTGGCAACCGTTTCTATTAAATTTCCTATTGCTTAACCTTTAATCTCAGGTTTCACAGAGAGGCTTGGTGTGTGTGTGCGTGCGTGTGTGTGTGTTTGTGTTTGTTACTACATTGCGCAGAGAGCACAGGACAGGAACAACACTTGCACAGCACACTTGTGTGATAAGACAAGAAAAAACGCAAGCAGGCAGCTGAGCACTGCATGTATACAATGGATACAATAATATACACTCATTACTAAGAAGAACATCACAGAGTTTTGTCCTCTGTTATTCTTATCACTGAGTCACATGAACAAATGTGATTCTGATTATTATGACAATACCGTCAGTCAACGATACCGATACCGGCCAATGTATCGGTGCATCCCTAATTACTTTGTTAATTACTTGTGAAGTGGAAATGCCAATTATTCCCATGTTCCAAGTTTCCTATTGTGAATATTCGGTTTCATTGTCTGGTGTGATACTGAATGAAACAGTTAATCCAAAGTGTAATCAGCATATTAATTGATAACAAAAATAATCAGTATTTGCCGCCCTATACTACCACTCCCTCATATTTTCATCTACAAGTATTACCGTTACTACAACCACTACGGCAATACTGCTGTGTATACATTACATTAATACTGCTAGCAGTGCAGCTACTACTACATTTACCTACTGCTAATGATAAAGGCTTTATCTTAATGAATCTCAGTCTGTAAAGCCACACAGGCAGCTTAACATGCAGATCACTGAGCTTTAAGGAAAGAGAGTTTTTTATATCTGGCAAAACAAAGACACACATTGGCTGCTAGCTTTCCTACATTGTCTCGTGAAAGTAACACATCAGGTAGAAGAGAAAGACAGAAGAAGAGAAAGGTCTTCTTTGCTTTTAAGAAATGCTAAACAGATGTAGGTTGGTGCACAGTTTCAGATCGAAGGAGGAGTTTCAGTTGGTTTTTGGGTGTGCCATAGATGGATCAATACCCCTCATCCTAATTGACCCCTCAATTGCTAAATTGGACCCTATTTTCATGTTCGAAGAGCAATGCCAATCAAACTTACCCCTCCAGCCGCACCCCACAAAAACCGCTTTGTATCAGCAGCCAACGCCGAGTCTCAACACTGGTCACTATGAAATCTCTCCCTAGGGAGATTCCAGGTAATGTTGTTGTTTCTTTCTGTGTTCCTACATAACACCCTGTGTTATCTGTGACAAAATGGGAATTTCAGTCAAAACACTGAAAAGAAAAAGCTTACGTTAAAAAAAACAAAAAACAAAAAAAAAAAAAAAAACACGTTGGCCTTGCAAATAGCAGCTAATAGTGCACGTAGAACGGTGAGGTTTCACTATGACAAATCTGAATGGTACTCTTCCCAATGGTGTTTCTGTGGGTGTCTTCTCAAATTTGTTTTGTTGTGAGCAACTCTGTTACTGCCACTCCTCTGAAATCTATACTGATAATAATAATAATATTACCTACTAATGCTACTGAGCTTTCTGTTTTTCTTTTAAGGTGACCCCACTGAGCAGGTGTGATGGTGCAACAGCCTCCTTTAAACAGTCTCACTGACAAATGGACACACAAGCAGCAGTCTACAGCTCCGGTTCAGGACTCAAAAAAAACACACATATTGTATATGAAGTTGGTAGGAAAAGAAAGTTTCCTCCGCTTTCTCCCACTGTTATTGTAGTAATAAGTCCCCTCTGCTGGGTGGAGAAACTCAACTTGTGTTCTGCCCATTACTGACCACACCCGTAAAACATCATCCTGTATGAGCCAAAACATCCACAAACCAGTTTTGGTTGAACAGGGAGGCTGAAGTAAAAAAACTGAATGTGTCCTGTGTATTAAGCATGAAATAAAGCACACTTATGTGACATGCTCCATTCATGAGTACATAACCTCGGTGGTATGCTAACAGATCTTTGAAAGTTACTGGTAAGTTTGCAAATGTCCTGTCTTCATTGTTCCTCATCAGGGGATTTCAAGTGGAATGTTTTCTTGTTAAAGTTGAAAAAGATACGAAGTGTAAAAGAAGTTCCTCACATGTGATGGAGCTGGAGAATAAGCTTGTTGATTTAAATAAAGGCAATTCTGTTCCAGGAAAATCGGTGCCAAGTTGCTTCTGGTGTAAACAAGGGGAACTGCAAGCAGTGTTACCAAAAAATCCCCCTGACCCGACACCACCTCAAACACGGAGCAGAAAGATATCTGGACAAAAGTGAAAAATCATACCCGGAGGGGAATACATTCCAGGGTTGGCCCTCGGTGGGAAAAAGCTTAGAGGGTTATCCAGGTTTATCAGGACAGCTGGCCTCCGTCCAAGGATAACTCAGCCATAAAGCAGAGGAGTTCTGACCGCACATTTCAAAGTTTACTGAGGAGATGTTCTCTTAATTACGTAATCTGGACCAATTCTAATGTAGGGCCTCTCTTTCTCTGACTACGAAGCATCACTGCAAACCACAGCAAAGAATGAATGCATTATCAGCTGTCTATTCATTGCAACGTCACACTTCTCTGCTGATCTGTCCATCCACAATCACGCCAGGATAGACCATATGACGTTAGAATATAAATCTTGTGTACTAGTTTTTGTACCGGTTTTCTGACTGGATTATTTAGCTTTTCATCACAGTGCAATTTACACATGAACTATCTCATCTCACTCACATACCGACTGGAATACATACTGTGGATCTAAAGCCGTGTGTCTAATAAACTGTCAACGTGCCTCTAGCACCAAAAGAAGTGCTGATACATTTTAGCACATGGTTATTCTGTTTTACCTTTTGTTGGATTTATTTTTATTTTTATAACAAACATACTCATTTCTCATATTCCATTGAAGGGAGACTGCCAGTGCTTAAGTTAACACTGAAAACGTCTGTGATCCTCAACAGGTTGCACATTTGTACACACTTACAGTTCTGTGGATCCATCAATCCAGGGAACAAGAGCAAAAATGGTACAACAATGTACAGTGCCTGAACAAGAGCATCTGTGAAATGACATACAGTGCTACATTATTGGAACAAAGAATTCAAATGTCAACTTAAGTCACCATTTGTTAAAGCAGGACAGCAAGCAAAAGCTACGGTTAACTGGTTTTACATGGCTGTAACATGTCTGACCTAAAGTGTATGCGTGTGGTAAACAAACACCAGAATTAGGATGTAGCCTAAAGAGAAGACTCCTTAAAAACACAATAAATACACAAACTTGTAGTTGCAGCCACACGGTAAATCAATTATCGGAAAATTGAAAATTGATTATACTATTGTGTATCTAGGCTTGCACGCTGTGAAAGATTCAGGTGGAAACCTAAGTTATTTATTTTTACATCAATGATTAACCACAATATCTCAATACGATCATTTCGTCATTGCAAGATCATATGGCAAGACAACAAAAGATCACAGTGAACTACTGGACAGCCCTGCTTCTGATTAATGCTGCAATATACAAGTTGTGACAAGTGACAATTATGAACATTTCTTTGAAATCAGAAACCAAAACAACCTCCTTCTGTCCCTCCCATCTCCCTCTATCACTCCCTAACACAATTACTAATAGAAGTAATGCTGACTAGATGTCTTAGCAACAATGCTGCTAAACCTGCAGTTGGTCTCTCTGCAAAAATTACCAATCAAGTGAACAAGTTTGAACATGAAAGCCACAACAAATCCTGGACATCTGATTAAAACAGACCCAAAACACAGCTGTCTGCAAAGCATAACTTTAAATAACATGAACACTTTGTATCATGTTTCAAACGTGCAATATTTGCATTAAGCAGTTTGGCTTAAAATTAGAGACTTAAATTCATTGTTTTCATAGCCTACACCAGATTATATATAAATATATATATGTATGTATTGATACTTAGGCATTTTCAATAAAACGACACAGACCAACTCACACTTACCAGGTTTCTTCTCACTTATAAGCTTCATAGTGAGGCAAAGTATCAGCTCACAGGTGCATACAAAAAAGAAAAATATAAAAAAACGATATTAAACACGCTTGTGTGATGAAAGCTAGAAGCCCTCGGCCAGTCTTGGATATCTGAAGAGACTTCACACAGCGAAGAAAACGCCACTTTCCCACATTCTTCGCTAAAACTGCAAAGTTTTCCTGGATGATCTTTACTCACATCATCCGAAACATTGGGTAAATAAGGGGGCGGGGTACCGGCCCATTCACCCTGCCTCATGAAGACAAGAGTCGGGTGTTGATTGGCTGAAGCAAGCCAAGCCCACTTATCAGGAGCTTTTTCACCACCGGGGAACCGACCAATCACAGCGCACCAAATGCAACCTGAGGGTTCATACAAACAAGAGGGGGTCTCCCTGACGACGGCAGGCTTGAAGATTGGACAGATCTGCCAGAGACAGTGTACCACCTAATCCAACAACAGGAAACACACATTAACCACGAAACTGTAACAGCAGTTAATAAAAATGCAGATAAAGGAAAGGTTGCTAGAGGTTGCTGCTGTCTCATTGCAACACTGCATGGTTGTGCTAACCCCGGGCTGGTCAGTGTTGCAGAGGGTACCCGTCTATCCATTTTCACGTCACGTTAACGACATACCACCGCTTCCACCGTCGGAAAAAAATAATATCAGAGAATGCGCACAATTTAACGACAGTGTTTAACAAACGTGTTTTTTTTTTTCAAAGCTGGTTGACACTTACGGGGTCTGTTCCGTCTCACCGACTCCGTCCTCCTCCGTAGCCTGCACCTCTTGGCCGGGGACCCGTTGCAGTCCACATCGTCCCCGCGGTGCAGGTGATGCATGTTGTCAAATGTGCTGCTGTTGGTTCCGGAGCTCGACCCGAAGGCAGAGCCGCTGCAGCAGCTGCCGTTAGCGGCCACAGGGACGTGGCTGTGAAAGCCCCTCTGGTTCTGCCCGTTGCTGACATGAAAGGGTCCCGACGCCCCTTTCTTGTCCATCATTGACTTGGCTTTATCCATGGCAGCAGCTAGCCTAGCCTAGCTTAGCTTAGCATCTGCAGGAGGAAAACCCTGTGGAGCCCGGCCGCTTTAGCTTAGCTCCGCTAACGTTAGCTCCGCTAATGTTAGCTCCGCTGCTTGGAAGCTAGTGAGTCCGTCGCGCGAGCAGCTAACGTTAGACCGTCTCCCGTTCCACAATGTCACGGTAACCGAAAATACCGAGCTCGAATTTGACGTATTTTTTCCCTTTTAATTAGTATTAAAATGGAAACACGAGTAGTCGCTAAATTACAGTGTTTCCTTTGAGGTCACTCGCGGTCATTTCCCCACATTGAGACTCTGCCAGGCGCAGCCGGTGTGTGTGTGTGTGTGTGTGGTGGACGGATACGTCACACCAGCTCTTCCAGCCGAAGCCCGAACCCGTTCACCTCCTCCGACCGGTTTTCTCTCTGCAGTAAAATTAATTACACTGTAATTTAACGGTTAAACACAAAGAAAGGCAAGAAAGGACTCGTCCCGTGTCGTCCACAGTACAACAATGCACCGCGGTTGCTCCCTGGAATATGAATCAAACACAGACTGGTAGCAGTATGTGCAGCTGTGGGCGCTTTATTTATAATGGTCGCTGCTCGCTGTCATCCTCATTCCCCGCAGTCCTCTGCACGCGTGATAATGCTGTTAGTCAATAACATGGCAGTAACGCAAATGAACGCTAGTAACCGTGTTGTTCCGTGCAGAAACATGGCCAACAGACAGCCCTTTCTTTCGGGGGTAACCTCTGATAACGTCTTTTGTTATCCTGCAGAGCATTTTAAACAGTTGTATCTGATGAGTGTATAATCTGGGATGTCTGTTCACTCCAGAGACCTTAACTACAATTGGACGATAAAATAAATGAAAATAAAATGTAATAATATACTAAAGAAATAGTCCTTTGTTTATTTTGATTATTTTTTGTGTAATCAATATTTTAAAAGATATTATTCAAGAGAGGTGATAACAACAGAGTCACAGTTCAGTCAACATACAAAGGTCAAGCAACAACAGTCTCCGCTTGATAAAGGAATACAATCACAAGAACCAATAAGACTACAAGACATTTCTTTCTTTCTTGGCAATTCATTCCTGCTATAAATATCAGTTTTCAAATGCTCTAAAGGTACCTAAAGCAATATGTTATTTATAAAGTCTAGAATTGTTGTTACTACAAAACTGATAGAGCAGAGATAATGAAGATGGACTTAAAGACTATTGTAAATGCAGTTATGTAAGGCGATACTCTGAAAAAACAAACATCACCATAACTAAGTACCGGCCTGCAGTTGATCGGATGGTGAAGTAATGCCACAAGAAATACGGTTAAGATTAAGAATTACCATAAGGAGTTAAATTTGGCATACTGATTAATGTGACATCCTCACCATAAAGTGGAGCAATGCAAACATTATCAGAATTACTGAGGAAATATAATTGTGTGTTATGACATCACTGTTACCACTATATCAAACGCCATCAGTTACTGGAAATATACTTTAGTGAGGTCCATCATACCACAACAGATAAACAAATGCCATCACTTTCATAATGGAAGCTCTTCATGTGCGGAGCCTTAAGAGCACTAATGAAGCCTTGAAATGGTGCCATCTCCTGGTTAAAAGTAATTAACTTTTTCAACTGGCACTTTAAAGGTAGAGTGAAAGTCCGTCTCCTTTAAGAAATCAGGAGCATTATTAAACACGTGGCATCATATTGTTTTAATAAACGTCTAATGATGAGCCTAGATTAGATAGGCGTCAGGTCAACATATAGAAATCCCTTAAAAGGACTGAGTTCAGTCATTACGCAACCAATTAGTCCTAGCCCACTGTGCTTTAAGTCTCTTCTCTGTTCTTCTGTAAACAAGGCCTGCACAAATATACACACACACGCACATTCATAGAGTGCGACAGGTTTGATCCAGAGAGCACCTGTTTAAAGGAAAAATTCTATTTCATGGTTTGAAAAATGAAATGTAAGTCGTAAGTTGGGACTGAGGATGTGAAACGCCTGCATGGTGTACATGCAATCCCTTTTTTGTGGAAACCAATTGGAAACCTTAAAGATCAAACATGGTGGCAACATCACTGCAGAACAGGAAATGATTTAATGTTATTGTTTAGAATCTCTCAGTGAAACCACATTGTGATGGTTTGATACTGTGACACATAATTCAGCTGTCAAATGAAACATTAGATTTTATTAAATAAGATATGAAATACAACAAGGAATATGTGAGCCAATTGTTTTTGACATCACACTTAAAGAGATAGTTACACATTTTGGAAAACATGCTTTTAATTACTTTCTTGCTGAGAATTAGATGAGAAGGTCAGCATCACTCTCATGTCTGTCCATTAAAGGTCCAGTGTTTCATATTTATCAGAATCAGAATCAGAAATACTTTAATAATCCCAGGGGAAATTATTTTCGTTACAACTCCAGAGATACAATTTAGGAGGATTTATTGTCAGAAATTGAATATGTGTAACTATGTTTTCATAAGTATATAATCACCTGAATATACGAGTCATTCTGTTGAATAAGCCTTTTATATCTTCAGACACCGTGGGTCACCTTCCATGGAGGCTGCCATGTTGAGCTGCCATGTTTTTTACATTAGCCCAGAAGGGACAAACCAAACGCATTCACTTTTTTTGTGTTTCACGTAGTTTCTCCTTTGTGCTTGGAAGGAGAAGGTGAAGTGAGGGAAGTGTGATCCGCAACTATATTGCTTGATGAAATCCTACACACTGGAGCCAGGCTAGCTGTTTCCAGTCTTTATGGTAACTAAACTAACTTTCCTGGTTCTAGCTTTATATGGAATGCAGTGTGCAAACTATACCATCGCTTTCAGGGGAGCTCACTTTTTTATTACTGATTGAATTACAGTATGCGGACTACAAAACAGAGAAATGAATAATGGCGATTCTGCCTAATGAGTGAGTGGGACAAAGAAAGATCTTTAAGTTAAAGTGAGTTAAGTTTATGAAATTGCAATCGAAGGGGTTAGCAGGAATAGCATGCATACCTGTATCTTTATTCAATCACCCTCATGCATGAATTATACACCCATAATGTTATCGATAATGATAATGAAGATATAGAAAAATAGAAATGCATGGCAAAAATGCTTTCCTGTAGTTCGCACCCTGACTGAATGTACAGAAATGAGAGTCTCATCTACCTCCCAGCCAGAATGTGAGTGAGCATTATCTCCCAAAATGTCAAAATATTAACATAAACCACTTGGTGCCACTAATTAATACCACAAAAAAAAACCCTAAAGATTCTAGATTTCTACCACCAAAATAAGCCCTCGCTGTGCTACATTGTGCCAAATCTTAAGGCCACATAAAGTGTAATAGGGGATTTAAGCACTTTGGTTGTAAGATAGCGGAACAGGTTTGTCTTTGATGGTTTTGACTGTGACTCCACCTTTACTTCAATTCTGATGACTATTCAGCGTAAAGTACCACTTATTGCACAGTCTAGACAGTGCTGAGAGATTTAGTCTCAAGAATAGAGGTGGTGTTTATGTCCTTTTATTGATTCTACCAGGGAAGTTCAGTCCCATCCCAGCTGTACGCCTTACCAGTCTTTTCAATATTCAGTGTGTCTATGATGCTCATTAGACAGTGCACAGACTGATCGGTACTGAACAGCTTGTCTTTTGGTACATTCTTGTGATACGGTCGGGAGAGGTCTGTGTTGACTGTTCCTGGATGCAGGGACACACACACCACCTGGAAAGAGATACAAGTTCATCAAATCTCTATAAAGATAATGGCCCGGGGTTTATATGAATGAAGAACGTTTATGGCAACACTCAAACCTACCTTCGGCCGACTGCGGCCCAGCTCTATAGACAGATTCCTGGTAGCCATGTTAAGAGCTGCTTTAGACATTCTGTAGCTGTACCAACCGCCAAGACCTGAGAGGAGGGGGCAGTGGTGGAGAGAGCAAATCATAGAGGAGCACAAATGAATCATACCATACTACATCAGCATGCATTCATTACCACAGATGTTTAAAGGGAAATACTGTGTGTGTGATTAAGGGTCGTAACTGACTTTTAACAGACTCATTTTCCCTCAACGTGCCCTTTCCTCACAGTGGTGTAGTCTACAATCTTGTGTGTACAGATATTTTAAAAAGTGTTTCTGAACCACCAGCAACACACTACCTACCGTTGTCGCCAATGGATCCCACTTTGGCAGTGATGTTGACGATGATGCCGCTGTGCTGTTTGGCTTTCTCTGCAGGCTGTTGACCGAAACCACCTCCACCTTTCTGAAGGAGGGGGGCAAAATACTTTGCCATGACCAGAGGACCCACTGTGTTGGTCGTCAAGGTGGAAATGATGCCCTGAAAGTCAATCAATACAGATCAATTAACATATGTGGCGGAACTCCAGGAGACAAATGAATGAATGAATGAATAAATGAATAAATGGGTGTGGTAAGTTGTCAAATGTTCCTCCTCTTGTTCTGAATTTTCGCATGCTGAATGCATGAATAAACAAAAATGAAGTAGTGGGAGAAATAAGGTCAGGTAATTCTTAAAAGTTATAAGCTTTAGATGACAGCAGTTTATTCTTCCTCAGATACGTTTTAGTGAATGATGTGATCATTTTGTTGTAGACATCAACAAAGATCTGGATGGAAACCAATAGGGTTCCTTGAATGGCTGTAAAAGATTTATTTATTTGTATGGACCAGGAAATTATCTTCTCCAGTGAAGCGAAATGGAACCAAACTCTGTACAACAAATCTTGCCATTTAATGTAAACTTCCTTTAAACTTACACAACTTTAAGTCTGGTGAATTTAGAGCCTTTATGTCGACTTTAAAAGCAGATCCCAATCACTGAAACAAGATAACACTGAGAGAGGAGCTGCAGCTATCATAACACCATATGCTCTACCTGAGCAGAAACGTCTCTCAGGCTGGTCTCTCCTTTTCCGGAGGGGTGAAGTATCGCCGAGGAGTTGACGATCAGATCCAGCCGACCGAAGCTCTCCTTAACCCGATCCGCAGCTCCTCGGATGTCCTCCTCTCGGTTCACGTCCAGCCTCAGGACCGTCAGTCTGCCCGGGTGTTGGCCGTCCAGAGCCCGCAGCTCGGCCGCTCCGTCCGGGTCTCGGCATGTCGCTACAACGGCAGCGGAGCTTTTGCTTTTCAATATATGTCTGCAGAACTGAAGCCCCAGTCCTCTGCTGGCCCCTTGAATGAGTGCGATGGGAGCCGACATGACAGTCGGGTGCCTTCAGGACCACCCCAAAACGTCGTAATTTCCTTGTTTTTATTTGAGCAATATAGCAAGGGAATTTACTGACAAGTGACTTTTAAAAGGAATAAAGGCGACTTGTGGCTCTTTGTATATAGCAGCGCCGAAATGTATTTTGAAATCATAATTTGTACTTTTAAAGACATTTCCAAATGATAAACTAACGAGGAGAACCTAAAGGCAGCATGTTTCACAACCAGCAGTACGCCCTCTGTAGGTCATTAGGAAGGCACTTACACAACTCTGCCCTATGCAGTCTATGTAATGCACTTTGGTCCTTTAATTGATTGATTTTGCATACTATTACACAATGCTGTGTACTGACCTGATGTGGAGCAGTCGGCCTGATATAAACAGTCAGGGAGAACAATACTCTGTTTTTAGTTGGAGCACTTTATTAGGTTTTTTCCAACCCATCAGCCCTTTTTCCTAATCTGATGGGTCGTAGGTTTTTGTGTGTTACATGCAACATAAACAGTATGAGGCAAAGCAATCAGAGATATCGTGATATCTAAAATGCACTGCGTTTGTCATTGATTTAACCGCTGATAAGACTTTAGCAGAAAGATTATTTTCTCCTGCCGCTTCATCCTCCGGTCCAGCAGGTGGCGGTAACTTATTGCCAACCGCCAATGCGGGAAGAAAGTTAAATTGTCATCACATTTTAGATAAATGTAAAATGAACCAAATTATAAATATTTAAAAACACATACCCATTACACATTTTGTATTATGAGAGCATAGAAAGGGTTATTTTAGACGAAAGTCACTCAAGCCAAAGCCCGAAGAAGAACCCGTTGTTGCCTAGCAACCGGTGGAAGTGTAGCGTCAGCTAACTTAGCTAGCTAGGCGGTCTGCTAACACATGGATTATTCTTGATTATGCGCCATAAAACAGCGTATAAATGCCGCCGAGAAGAAAGGGCCCTTTGCAACTTGTCCAGAGGGAAGTGGACGGAATCAAAACACAGGTTGGTTACAGAATGGCGCGTCTTGCCTAATTTTAATAGAAAAACGGAAGTGCCCTGTGCTAGCATATAAGCCTACAAACAGCTGAAGATGAAACACGTTTGGTCCTCGGCCACTTTTCATCACATATACCGAGCAGTGTTGTAATTTATCCATTTGATTAGCCCGTCACTCCCATACGGTTGTTTCAGTGGGCATTTTAACGTTAAACAAAAGTTGAGAGTTTCCTAAAAGTGAGTGATGTTTTGTTAATGAAGTGAATTCAGAATGATCTAGAATGAACTAAGAAAGAGGCTTTATGACTTGTTTCATGATGGTCTCAGTCAAGAGGTAGGGAAACATTAAGAAGACAGATTTGGCCTGCAGGATAGTGGAGCCTATGAGCAAGGACATGCTTGTTAATCTGAGCAATGTGGTTAACCTTAAACACAACAAGTATATAGACTGTAAAACGTGTCAGCACCTCTGTGTTCCCTGTTGATTAACCTCGTTGTTCTTCTAACGCAGGTTGACAGTCTGGTTAAGGATGTGCAGAGTCAGGATGGATCCACTGAAGAGGCACTTCGGAGGTAAACAGCTGTGACAGAGCCACAGCTGTGCTTTCTAAACTGGTCTTATTCACTGAAACTGTTAAAACTAAACATCACTTTCTTTTTCAAGTCATGCTTTGAGATGTAATTTGAGTCTAAATGTCCATTTCCAAACAGATGTCAAGAACTGCAGATGGCGACAGAGAAGACACTAAAGGCACTGAATAAACTGACAAAGGTTAGTGCTGTACAGTTCGTAAACTTGTGACTTATTGTCTGGTTATTAAAAATCTTCTTCATAGTAAGTGGTTTTGTAAATTACCAAAATTGCAAGCGACCAATACTATTTCTTAACCTATGTCAGTTGTTTGTATCCTGAAAATTGACATTATTTATGGTCCCAAATCAATATATATTCTTTGAGGCAGAATTTCTGTTATCATGGGACACCTGTTGCTTATTTAAAGCCAGAATGTTGATTTTGTTTTTCGGCAGCTAAGTACTAAGACAGTACTGTACATTATTTATTAAATAATATTAGTGATATCTGAGTGTTTTTGTACAATGTTGTTCAGATATCACTAACAGGCCAATTTTGTATTTCTCAATAATGTCCTTTACAGCAGTCTAAACTTACTCTGTATTGTTTTGATCTTTTAAGACTCTACTTAAAAGTCTAATTTGACTCATTTGTTCCTTATTTTTTGAGGCCGATGAGCTGGCTCCAGTGGGGAACTATGATCAGAGGAAGCAGGAAGAGGAGAGACGACTGCAGTACATCTTGGAGCGTCTAAACACACTGTCTCTGGAGCTTTCACCACCAGGACCCAGTACTGCTGCAGGGTCAGTGACCTCTGTGTCCCCTGCAAAGCAAATAGGATCAGGGTCCTTTATGATTGCTTTATTATTTACACACTTCCTCTTTGTTACCCAGTTATTAATATGTATCATAGTCTTTGCTACAGTGGCTTTATTATGATTATATATATATTATCTTTTGTGAAGGATTTGCACCGAAACATCAGTTTCAAAGTACTGATTTCAATTTGTCACAGAAAGACAAAGAAAAATATTAGTTTGATATGTCATCAGAATCTCAACTTTGCTTCCTTCCTTGTTTTGATCCACAGCGGCGTTTTAAAGAAAGATAGTGAGGATGATGATGATGATGATGATGAAGATGATGACAGCGAAGAAAGTAACGACGATGATGTTGACGATGATGAAGATGAGAAGGCAGCCGCAAAACCGCCTTCTCTGTCAGGTTCTCGCTTCTACACGGTGCTCAGTGACTTCAAAGGAGAACAGGAGGGAGATCTGTCTGTCCAGGTGAAGTACTTTCTGTTTGAGAAACACAGACGGGCTACAGGTCGGCAACGTGCAGGGGTCTACAGGAGCGGTTAAAATGAGTGGCTGTCCTCATGCAGCCTAAGTAGAATGAATGGATCCGTGTGACAAATTAATCTTTCAAGTCAACTATTGTAAGTTTTAAACCCAAACCCCTTTTAAGTGACCTCTTTTTTTCAATGCTTCATGCACCTGGATATTGACAGTAGGAGGAAATCTAAAGGTGTAGGAGCTGAGGCCCTTTTTCCTTGTTTCCCTGCTGCTGTCTTCTTATCATGATGTCTAAAAAACAAAGCTCCTTCTAAAAACGGAGGAGGATAATCAGGAAAGTGTGTTGACATGATTTAAAAAGACTCTACCTTCAAAGCATACAGTGAGAAGACTTTAACAGAACAGGAGAGGGTGCTCTTGCCCTCCAGATCATATGCCCACAGCACTGCAGGTGCAGTGAAGGGAGAAAAGGCGGCTGGCAGGGAAACAGTATGAAATCAACTACACACTTTTACGCAGAGAAAGCCTGCCTGTTAGTAATGCATAAATAATGTTAAGTTACACGACTTTGTTTGTGTCCCTGCTGTTTTCAGAGGGGAGAGGTATTGAGGATTATCAGGACAACAGCAGATGGATGGTGGCTGGCTCAGGACAGTAAAGGCAACAGTGGAGTGGTTCCAAAAACCTACCTGAAGGTACACAATCTGATAAACATCTGCGTCACAGTCCAGCATCAAGCAACAGTTTGACTGTTACTGTCAATTTAAAGATGCATTCAGCTGAAGGAAATGTATAAAATATCGATTGTGGACATGAAAATACAACTAACTGTGGTGTGGAGATACGTTAAAGGTCCAGTGTGTAACATTTAGGATGATCTATAGGCATAAATGGAATATATTATTGATTATGCCTAATCACTTCAGAATAAGCCCTTTTTATCTACAGGTCCTCTTTCATGGAGTCCGCTATGTTGAATATTGTGTTTCTTTAACAGCCCAGAATTGGCAAACCAAACACTACATCTAGTTTAAATAGGGCCAGTTTTGTGGCCACCTGAGTTTCTCTTACACGATTGGAATGGGAGAGTGAGGCGAGGGGGTTGTAATATGCAGCTGCACTGCTAGATGCCACTAAATCCTACACATTGGTTCTTTAAGCTTCTTTCAATAACAAGTCTGCTACTGTACTTTCTTTGGTATTTGTTGTCTTCTGTATTTTCTCCACACACTAAGGGAAAATAGAGTAAATGGTTATTTTTTTAAAGTCATATCCTCACAGTAGCCCACATATACCAAACCTTCTTGTTTTGTTCATTTTAAATAGAATAAGTATAAGTGTGTTACTGTAAACTGGTGAAACTTTAGCATTTATAACCATTCACTTTTCAGATTGGATCTGTTGTTGCTGATGATGATGACGATGAGGACGAAGATGATGACGTTGAAAATGAAGAGGAAGATTCAGAGGAGGAGGAAGAGCAAGATGGTGAAAAACTGACGGATGACAGAGAGAAACAGAGGTTCTACATTTTATTAACCTACTTATTGTAGATTGAGCGTCAGTGGTTCTGGCTGATGGCTGATGGCTGATGGCTAACGCTCATTAATTATCAAGTCAATTTGAATTAGCATTCCGGCATTTTGAGATAATCGGGATCCCTGATGTCACATGTGCAGGCAGCCTTGTCAGTGCGGCTGCTGTGGAGCGATGTTAAAGCGAGTTTTGGGAAGGTGGTGAAAATGTTGGTGTCGAGCCCTGTACTAACTCTCATGCATCCTGCTGTAAAAGTATCCCTGAATTTCCTATAGAACAGAATAGAATACAATTATACATGATTTTTATTTTGACATTATATATCGGTCGACCACTGATTTGAATTCCTCTCTTGTTCAACAGCGGTACTTCATATTCCAACTGGGGTACAGTCAGAAAGGCTTTGACTGAGGTAAATATCTACATACTAATTACTGCTTCTGAAACTGAGGCAACTGTTGATTTTACTATCAACAAATATTAAATCCACTGTTGGGAATTGCACATACAATATATTGATGGTTTTAACTGTGTGTCTGTGTGTGTGTGTGTGTCTGACAGATTGATGCAACAGATGTGCTCTCTGCCATGGGGGCTATACCTTCAGGATTCAGACCATCAACTCTCAATAAACTGCTGGTGGAGGAAGGTAATTACCATATACACTCTGTAACAAGCACAGTAACACACAATTTATGCCAATGAATCAAGG